AGTAGATGCAACAAACAGAACCACTGGGCCAAATTTCCTGTGGTTCCTTACCAATTGCCTTATTTTTATTATACAAGTCAGCTCCTTGCAACTTGTATTTCCCTGTATCTGCAAGCACTTGCTGTCAAATTATCTTGAAAATAATTTCCTTCCGTATCTTCAAACCATCCCAGAAAACACACATTTGCCAGAAAGAAATCAGCTGGTAAGTGGGACTTTAGGCTGGACATTGCAGGGTGTATTTACCTGCCTGCAGATAATTGCTGTAGCCATGTGGCCACCTCTGCAGTTGACATTCATAGTGCTCATTCCATCATCTCCCCCTCAGGAGAAAACCCCGCTTAACTCTATTAATAGTGTGCACGTGTGTGCACTGAGTATCTGTAGCTGCTCAAGAGCTGCAAGAATGTGGTATGTTGGCAGAGGTGCGGTTGACTCAAGGAGGTTGCACATGTCTAGTGTCCCATAAGAAAGCAAGAAAGGCTTCTCAACCAAGTCCCAAAACCGATGTTTTACTGCATAGTCTCACCAAGGGCAGTTGAGAGGGCTGGTAGATGAAATAGTTAACCAAGCAATAGCTCTGCAGAAGCTGTTGATGGAGAAGGAGGCAGCAGCTTGACCCATCTATCCTCATGTGTCTCCCACTGTTATCGGATATCGCCTCCCGTAAGCTTGTGCTCAGAGCAAGGAGACGAAAATTGCTATTGACAGAAGTACCCTGCAGACAAGGTCCTCTGCTGCAAAGCTGCTAGCGTCTTGCATGGTGGAAACCTATTTTAAATGACAGCAGAACACAAATGTTATGGAAAGATCTTGCTGTAGATAGTTTTCAGGATTAGGGCAGGGGAGAAAACAAAAGTACAGCCTGCCTTGACAAATATTATCAGACATTTAAGTGCTCCATCTTCCAGTGCTGATTTGTGGAAACACTTCCAGGGCATCAGGAAATGTTGTCATTGGCAAATAGTAACCACAGGAAATGGTTGTTTCAAAATGGCTGATGGTATGGGCAACGACAACATGATCACGTAACACATGGCCACAAAGTTAATAAGCATTGGCATCCTAGAGCATTAATTATCACTCTCAGTCATCAAAAAATATAAACCCAGTGAACAATTCTGATGATACAGGTGGGATTATTAAAGGATTATTTGAGAAAGAGCAAGGAGAAGGTAGTATGTCATCAGAATGTGGGATCACTACTTTGATTTATCGTTGAAAACTTTATGTGCTTTGAGATCTCAAACCCCAAAACAAAACTTAATCTTCATTTAGGCACTACCATTCCCTCCCTTATCACATTATCTGAGTACATCACACTCTAATTATAGTTATCTGAACAACACTTATTGAGACTGGGAAATACTAACCTTGTAGGAGAAGCCCTTGAACAGAGAGTAAAGCCGAGTCAAAAACAATTCTTAGTTTTTAAAGGTCAGCTAAGTACACTGCAACTGGTGGGAAAAAAAGAGTTCTTACACCATCAGCAACACTTGAGAAAATTTCTCTCTTCATTATTATTAATGCAGATCCTGAAGTCCTGGTGCAAAATTCAGAACAAAGTTGTTATTATTATGAGGAAAAAATGCATTGTAATATTTGTATTTCTAAAAGCATCATTTAAAACATATCCATAATCATTCAAAGAAAGGAGTAATACAGCATCTCAGTGGGATATTATATCTTACCCTCAAGAGGTATCCGGAAGTGCTTCTCAATATTTTAGTATCTGTTAGGCAATGACTGCAGTTTATTTATCTCTCTCTAGTGGGTACAGAAGTAGAAGTTAAATTTTCCATCTTTCTCTCTAAAGTGTATGAGGGACTGTGTGCTCATACTCAAGGAAAGAAAAAATCTCTCTTCCACGTCACACCCTGGTGTGGGAAACAGCCCAGGTGTGCCTGTACTGAGTGTGGACCAGGGGCCACATTTATCTACACATTTCTTCAAGGCATCCTCTGTGAAGCCTTTGAGAAGAGCTTCGAGGAGTTCAGGCCTTGTGCAGATACTGCAGAATGGTTGTTACTTAATGAAATTGAGGTGTTTCCTATTTCATGGCTTTTATTCTTTTGCATTGCTGTACATGCTAGGGCACAGAACCGGGTATTGCACCAGATCTGTTTTGTTTTGGTTTTATTTTTCGTGTTTTAAGTACAAGTCACACTCTGCTGTTGTGCTTTTAAAGCTGATCGCTGCTTCAGTAGCTTCCTCCCAGCTAGTTTTCATTTTTCCCAAACCTGACTTTCAAAGTCCATTATTATGAAGAAAAAAAAGATATTGTTACATTTCCTAGCAAAATATTGTTTCTGATACTTTGTGGATTAAAAGAGCCCTTAATACCCTGTAGATCACCAGAGTTCTTGATAGCAACTTCAAGCCTCACTGAGAGTTTAATAAGCTGCTGCTGAGTTATATGACACCTATTAAGTTTATGGAAAAGATTCATCCACTCTGTTGCTGTTATTAGCTATCAAATACCACGGACACTCGAGAGGACCCTGAACCAATACTATCAGCTGAACCACAGCAAAAATATTGGGAAGGATATTTGAGATTCCCAGGCTTTGATACGAGTCCAAATTTCACAGCCGTTTGCTATTTCTATAAAAACTTGGCCAGAAGGACCCATCTCAAGTATTCCTAAAAACTGGAAATGCAAAGGAATTCACAAGCTTGTCTAGAATTTTCTGTTTGGGGTTAATTGTTCACTTCTTTTCACCTCTGCTAGACTTGATAATACTCTTTCATGTGAAAGGCTCCAGATATAAGCATCAGGAAACGAAGGTCTCCAATCATAAAAGAGGAAATGCCCAGACACTGCTAATGCCAACCCATCCTGTCCTGCTGCCATGTTTCAGTCCTGCAGTGGAAGGGATGGCTTCATGGGCTCTGTGTAAGGAGAAAGTTCTGTTAAGGGGCCCATTTCTTTCAGAATTTTAATAACTTAAGGCCATTTTATAAAGCCCAAAACCCTCCATCAGTGCTGCAAACACAAGAGGTTTGGGGAACATCTCAACTTGCAGACATTTTGTCTCTTAACTGAGTTTCTGGAAGTGGGATATTTATTTGGGCTGTAGTCCATGTCCATGCCCTGGGAACATGCAAGTTCACAAAGCAGCTTTCAGTGGACAGAGCTCTCTCTCCTTCGTGTTTGCACAGAAGCTGTGGGAGATTGGTTACTTGTGATAACTTCTACTTGTCTAGCAGTTTTGGATAAATTCAACCAACTACCTTAAAAGTTATTGGAGAAGTACCTACAGACTGACAGACAGCCTCACCTATACACACACAATCACAGAGTCATTGAAAAGCCTATTTCTGTAGGAAATTAGGGTGAGAAGATTGTTTAGATTTTTTTTTCCTTAATGAATAGGAAAAAAAAAAAAGCCATACTCTGAATGTATTTCCTCTAAATTGGCACAGCATAATGAAGAGGCTCAAAGAAATGACCATCCAGTCTCAGAGGCCCTGTTATGCTGGGAGAGATTTAGTTTCATTGCATGAACTGCTGTAAAAGTAAGCAGTGGGATCTTTGAAATCTGAATTTTTGATTGCATTGCTGGAGAGCCATCAGGAGCAACAAGCCAGCTGATGGCAAACAGAGGGATGCACAGGCAAACACCCGTAGCATGAGCAGTCCCAGCTGAAGTGCTCTCGTCCTGGCAGACAGGACAGGTGTGTCACTTCCAGATGTGACATGAGCCACTTGCTTCTTGTTCACAGCCTTTGAAGTGCTGTGCAGAGAAAGCCTGAGCCGTTACTGCAATTAGAGTAGATACATCATTTACTGGAAGAATTAAATGCACTGTAGTAGCAAACCTGCAGTTGACACTCAGAGAGTGCAATTGAAATCCTCCGGATTAGTAATTCTTTTGAGATCTTTGTAATCATCGGTAATAGGTAGTGAAATAAATCCACATTTATATCCTACAGACCGCAGCTGTGCTTCTGTTAAAGTAGTATTAACTGATGGGTTTTTAAATCCTTCTGCCAGCTCGAGCTGTAAGCACCGAAACTCCTGTGCAGAGGATAACTCATCCTGGGTGATGTATGTTCCTGAGCATGAAAGCACTGGTTAATGAATAATGGAAGCACTAAGGCAGAATCACACCTCGGGGCTTCGCTCCGGCAGTGAGCTCTCAGGGGAGAGGTCCCCGCACAGCTCGCTGTGCAACAGCAGCCTCAGCTACCCAACTGCAGCTGAGATTGGATGTGGCTCTGGATAACCGTGATAAAAAATAAGACAAAACACTAATGTAAAGCTTTACCCAGATGGCCAAAGTGCTGAACCTCATCTTGTTCAGTCGAGCGAGGGGTTCATCCAGCCAACTCTGGTATTGTTCCTTCAGGTATCAGGAGTGCACACTCGTACCCTGACTTACTGCACAGGCTCCCAGTTAACTAAACAAATATGCCATTAAAAGCTGAACCAACCTTGAGGGGGACATATGGGTTTAAACTGCAGCAGGAAGAGATTTATGGACTTGTTTTCTCAGCCTAGAGAGTAATTGAAGAGGCCTCAGACAGTTCAACATTTACCAGCTCTGATAAGGGAAACCAGCACGTCACTGGGGATGAGAGAGGAGGGGTGATGGGTGCTGGATTGGCACTCAGCTTTGCTGTGGAGCCCCAGCCACGGAGAGGGACCCAGAGTGACAGTCAAAAAGAAGTTTTGCAAACTCAGTATGCTTGTAAGATAAGCGTGGCGCTGATAAAGTAAATCACAGAGAGATTAAAAAACTCAAGAGAACGATATTGGTGGCAGACTGAACAAAAGAGCCCAGGCATCCTGGCTGTCCCTTCCTTCAGCTATGCTGCAGCCCAGTCTGCCCAAAATCCATGACCTTAGAGATGATTTATTGAAAAAAATCAGCAGCTGACCTAGAGGAGAATAATTTACTTATACAACCTGTAAGGAAAAGGAAATAAAGCAGAGCTGGCAGAAGGGCATTTACCTGGTTCTATTGTATATGTGTTATGTTTGCTCTCTCATTTAGGAATCTACAAAGGACATTGCTTCCGAATCAACCACTTCCCTGAAGACAATGACTATGACCATGACAGCTCAGAATACCTTCTCCGTAAGTTGAAAATTAATACCTAATACACAGGATTAACAGACATGGCCAGAGAGACTTACCTGGGTTTCTCTTCTGAAGAGTCCAATGTGAGTCTTATTCATTGCAAGAGACTGGCTCAAACTGGGTGGCAGAGAGCTGTGGTGACATACTGCAGCTGATACAACCATGACCCTCAGGGACCCCCATTTCAAGGGTTTCCTTCAGCCAGGGCAACACATGTGATTGTGGTGCCCATTCTCTAAAAATTATATGGAAATTTTTCAAATGGAAACTGGAGCTATCCTTCCCAGACTGGCAAGGATATTTTACAGAGGGAGTATTTATCTGATTAGTGTATCAAACCAGGTTTGAGGAGTGGGTTCCAGCCCATTAGAAAGCTTTTTCTAATGCTTAAACCCAACCCTTATAGAAGTCTCATCATTTGTAGCTGCTGAGCCACCTCCTCCTGCAGTGAAATTAGTGTATTGTAGGAAGGAAGATGAAATTTCTGCAGCTAACAGCAAAATCTCAGCATGAACATGGGCTGTGGCTTCCCTGCATGGCCAGCCAACCATTGCTGCTCTGTGCTGGTGCGTAATCCACTACAGAAGTCATTTCATCCACCAACTTGGTGCTTACAATAAGGGGAATTGTTTCATCTCCTCCAGGTGATCATTCGCTCAGCTGAGGGTCTTGGAACCTGAGTATGAAACTTCATGAATCCTGCAAAGTTTGGGTTAGATTTCACCTTCCCCAGAGGTCGCCTGGCCTGGTTGTTTGTTTTGAGCCAAAGAGCTGACCAGGCGAGCTGAAAGCAGTGCCCTTTGCCAGAGAAAGGAGGTTCACGAGGTGGTGGGAAAGCTTCAGGGTGACGAATGACCCTGCTGCGTGCTACACTCAGCAAGGCAAAATACTCCTCAATTACACTGCTATTAATTACCTGAAACATCACTTAGAGAACTGCTCTGCCCTTCCGCTCCCCTGGGGGAAACAACGTCTTGGTGCTAAGACAAGAAGGAAAAATAAAAATCTCTGGAAAGTACACTTTACCAGAAAACCTAGATTTTTTTTTTTCTTTTTTCATCTTTTTTCTTGTCAATTTAGATCAATCATAGCGCTTGGGTGGTGTGATTTCAGTGCTGAGGTGAAGGCAGACTAGCAGAGCATGTGCACAGCTGCATTTATCTTTCATACAAAGCTTTGGAACTAATGTTAAATTGATGCCAAGTCAGCTTGAGCAAAGAAACATCATTAGTAAAAGCACTGTAAAGGAAAGAAGAATTAAGTAGTATCTTGATAAAAGTGTATTAAGCCTTTTTGTCATTTGGAGAAAAGATAGAACTGGGAAAAAACAGTCTCCAGCTCCTCAGTAAGACATGAGATTGGTAAATTGTTTGTAAGTGTACTTGTGATGGGTGTTCCTAAAAGCTGTTTTCCAAGTACAGACCTTAAAACCAAGTTGGTACAACCCTTTATGTCTTCTGGAAAATCAGGCTTCAGCTGCTTCCCCCACAAAGGAGAGCTCATCCTCACGTAGTCGGCAGAGAAAACAGGACTCCTCTGCTTTAACTTTTACAAGAAAAACTGCAGCTCCACTTCAAATGTGTACGGTTCATTTAGAGATTACTGAAAGGTTATGTATCTAAATCCAGAAGAAATGAGCTCATACGTACATGTAATAGGAACCAAATCATTGTCTAACTAGACACAGACAGGGGAATATTTGCATCCTGTCTCAAAGGAGACGTGAGACCTTCTGTCCCAATTTTGCCCTCTGTGCAACACCTTTGCAATCTGCTGTCTCTGTATCATTCATCGTGCTTTTTAGTCATTTTTTGGCAGAAGTCTCCTGGAGGGCCATGCTGGGAGTAAACCTTGTTTTTTCTGTCTTGCTTAGACAAAGGCATCAATGCTGCGTGCATCTTGTGCTCCTGAAAAAGCAGCTCGAGGGCTCACAGCCTGCTCCACACTTAGAGTCATAGAATGGTTTGGGTTGGAAGGGACCTTAAAGCTCATCCAGTTCCAACCCCCCTGCCATCAGCAGGGACACCTTCCACTAGACCAGGTTGCTCAAAGCCTCATCCAACCTGGCCTTGAACACTTCCAGGGAGGAGCAGCCACGGCTTCTCTGGGCAACCTGTTCCAGTGTCTGACCACCCTCACAGTGAAGAATTTCTTCCCAATATCTAATCTAAACCTCCCCTCTTCCAGTTTAAAGCCATTACCCCTTGTTCTGTCACTACCTGCCCTTGTCCAAAGTCCCTCCCAACCCTTCCTGTAGCCCCTTCAGGTACTGGAAGGCCCCTATACGGTCTCCCTGATGCCTTCTCTTCTCCAGGCTGAACAACCCTAACTCTCTCAGCCTGTCCTCATAGCAGAGGTGCTCCAGCCCTCAGATTTTAGGGGACTTTGGTCCGGGCTATGGGTAGGAGCAGGCATTTGAATTTTCCCCTTCAGCGTTCAGGCAGTTCCCTGCAAAACCAAGCAAACACCAGTCACAGTGACAACTAACACATACAAAGGAGCTCAGATCAGACCCCTCCTATTGAACCTTCCCTCTGACAACTCCAATCTCTGTGTCTAAAAAAAATCCCCATCACACATCTGTGCAGAGCCCCAGCAAGTGGTATAGGTATCGCTGCCACGCACAGAAAGCCCATGCAGTCCCCAGGGCTGCCACCAGCATCGGCCAGCCGCTCACATGTGCTCTTGTTTCCAACCTCTCCTGCATTTCTGCAGGCACATAGAAACCAAGCTGCTGCCACCCAGCATTGCAGGAAACACCTACTCATCTCCTTTTGCAGAAGAAGAGATTTCAGCCATGCTCATCCTCGGGGCGTGCATGAGGACATCTGAGCTCTGCTGCAATGTAAAAGTGCAGCCATGAGGAGGGGACTGGAGGCCCCACGTCAAAGGCATCTCTACACTGTCATGGCTTTCTCTTCCCCGTGTGCTGTAGCAGCCCATTTTTAAAGCCAGTTGCTTGGCTCCTGCCTTTCAGAGAAGAAGAAAAGCGCTGAGGCTCGCAGCCCCATGAGGAGGAGCAGCACCACACGCTGCGGAGCTTCACTGAAGGAGGTGTCACAACACATAGCGGTGCAGAACAGCCGATGCAAACAGACAGGAGGGTAAACAAGAAAAAAAACAAAACAAAACAAGGGAGAAAGCAAAAACCAGATTGCTTTAATGTTTCTTGATGTGCTGTCATTTTATTACCAGTATTGGGAGATATATGTAAATTGTACATGGTACCTATGAGCTTCCTTTTAAGTTTCAGAGTTAACAGTACACATTGTAGGGAAAAAAAAAAACGTTCCAAATGGTAGGAAAAAATATACTGTAGGGTTTTACAGGAAGAGAACACTGTGTGTTTAGTTTCTCTTCACATTTATTACCTAATATAGAAAAATTATCTCTGGAGATTATTGCTACAAGTAGAACAACCCACTCCCTATATTTGGCATGTCTGGCAAGTTCCTTCTGTTGATGTCACTGAAGCATTTTAGGAAAGCTTTTGGATTTAATTGAAATCATTATAAACATCATGACCATAAAATAGAGGAATCAACAACCAGAAAGGGTAGGCTACAGTAGATTTTAAGCTTGTGCTGCCTTTTGCCAGGACACTGGTAGATGGACAGTGATCTGGGGTCCAGCAGCACAGAGACACAACAACCAGAAAGGGTGGGCTACAGTAGGTTTTAAGCTTATGCTGCCTTTTGCCAGGACACTGGTAGATAGACAGTGATCTGGGGTCCAGCAGCACAGAGACTGACATGGAATCTTTTTTCTAATAATTGACTCGAAAAATTGACCCAAAAGTTGAAGCATGGTTATTTCATACCCCACACATGGACATACACCCAGGACAACAGAATGGGCTCTGAGCACTCAACAGGCTTTGTTTAGAGACCTTACAACCTCGTTACTTGCATTTGCCAGTAATTACAAGACACTGTCTGAATAGTAATGCATCCGAGTGAATTGGGTTTAGATCTGGTTAGAAAATGCCCCGTCTGTAAAGGACACGTGCAGTGACGAGGCCAGTTTTGGTAGGAAATGGACTTTTTTCACTGTTGCAGATCGATACAGGCAGAGGCTTCCCAGACAGGGACTGTCTTTTTTGTTTTATGTTTGCACCATCCTAACAAGGGCTGGGACGGTGGCTGGGGCTCGCGGGGGCTTTGCAACGTGCACAAAAGTGATGCTGCTATTAAACACCCAGCCCTGTCCCTCTTGCAGTCAGTGGGAGGTTTTGCCAGTAGTTACCAGGGGAATCGTTAGGAAGCGATTCAGTAAATTGGGAACACCACGGCCATCAAAAGTGAAAGGAGAAAGCATCAGCTGGAACGTCTGGCTGTTTCTCCTCGGGAAACGGGCGCCACTGGCTGTGAGCGTCAGCCAGGAAGGTGGCACCCAGGAGGGAGTGTGTCGCCGATGGCACCGTGTCTGCAGCTTGGGCCAGATGGTAGTTTTCTCCTCTCTCTGCACTCAGCCCTTGGGGGTTCCCATGTTCTCCTGGTGTGCTGTGGGGTTTCCAGCAGCCTCAGACCCCCATCCACCGCGGGCATCCCCGTGCCCTGGCACCCGCTCACCATGCCAGGACTCCCCTCCATGCCTTTGCCTTTCCGTGGCCCCCAGCTTTGAGGAAATTCTGTTTTCCACAGCACTCTTCAGCATCTTATCTCCCCTTCTTCCAAAAAATCCTCTCTCTATAACAATATGACTTGCTTCCTCGCTCTGCCTTTCAGGAACAGCCACCAGGTTTCGCCCCCTTGGTTTTTACAATACAGATTTCTCTCTTCTTGTGCCTGTTTATTTTTTTCTCAGCTCTTTTATTCCCTCCCTGCCACTTTGCTTTCAACTGCTGCTTAGTCTTGTAGTGACCTCACTTGGAAAGCAGGCTTGAAGTGGTGTTTTAATATTTTTTTTCAGGGGTTTTATAGCTCATCTTGATGAATGGACTGAAGCATACAGAATTTTAAATGACTCTACTTTAGCTTTCAGGAAACTAAACACAAACATCTGAGATGCACTTGTTAAAATTTCTTCCTTAGAAATCTGAAAGGTTTCAATGTTCAACAAAAGGAAAAAAAAAAAAGAGTTATTATCTGTGCTGGCTGGGAACACAAATGCTGCAGACTTCAAGAGCTAGAATTTGCTCACCGTGCACATGTATCAAGGATGGGATCCGTGTGCTCAAACCATCCCCAAACATTGTAGGGTTCATGGCCAGCTCATGAATTTTTCAGTGCCGCTCCCCGCGTGACGCCGGGTCTTACTGTCACTTACCTCATGCTTTGTCCAAAATGTTCTGTATGCAGTGGCATCAGATAATGGCAATAACACCAGACTTCCTAGGAGGAAGCTCAGAACATGTAAGTTACTCACTGGAGAGTGTCTGTGCCACACTGGCCACCTACCCATGGCCTTGGCTGCCAAAAAGGTGCCCAGAAATGCAGAATCAATGATAATTACAGCAAAAGCCAGAGGTTTTGAGGCTTTGTAATCTCCACACTAGCACTCGAGGAGGCATCTGAAATGATTACTGTCTGTCTTGGTTTTCTACCTGTCTCCCCTCCAGGCATTGTCCGTGCCTCCAGTGTGTTCCCCATCCTAAGTACAATATTGCTGTTGCTGGGAGGACTCTGTGTCGGAGCAGGAAGAATTTACAACAGCAAAAACAACATTATTCTCAGTGCTGGGATTCTCTTTGTTGCAGCAGGTATGTTCTTAAATTGAGTCCTTAGAAGCGCTGCTTTTTTAACCTGAAGAGGACTGTGGAAAAGCTTGTTGGCAGTTCTCTCCCTGTATCCCTTCCCTGGATCGAGGGCATTAGCAACATCACACTAGGCAAATTTCTGAAGACAAAAATATGGTTTGGAAGCTCTACAATAAGTATGTTCTAGAAAAGTTTTTCGTTTTCCTGAAAAAGGAAGCTAAAGTCAGTTACAAGCAGGTTTTATGCTATTTAAAATGTGTTCAACATGAGATGAATCAGATGCCTCTTACATTCAGGGTCTTTTTTTTTTCTCTTTTATATGTTGGGAGAAAAATTTCACCTATGATAGGTGAGCCCACTTTTAATACTAGAAACATCTGAGAGTCAGTCACATTGTTAATAGCTTTCCCCGAAGCTTGGATTAAGCATGCTGCATTCAGATGAAAATTCAGCAAGGTGGAAGAGAATGTATCTTGATCAAGGTGAACAGCCATAGCCCTGAGCTCAAAATGTATTTTTATTATTATTCTGAATGTCAGAATCACACTAACAATATTAGTGAGCTCCCATAAGCTACTACTTTCAGTGACAATGAAGAGATGGGGACAAAACCTGCTGAATATTTTTGATATCCTTGTGAGAAAATTCTTTGTTTTTCAAGAATAAAAGAAATCTCAAGATAAATGAAAGAGTAAATAAATGTAATAAAATTTCCTGGTCATAATCTTTGAACCATTCAGGTCCAGAAAGCAACATAAAGTCCAGCCACATAACCACTGATTTATGTTTTTCTCTTCTAGGACTAAGTAATATCATAGGGATCATAGTCTACATATCAAGTAATGCAGGTGACCCAAGTGACAAGCGAGATGAGGACAAAAAGAACCATTACAACTATGGCTGGTCTTTTTATTTTGGAGCCTTGTCTTTTATTGTGGCCGAAACCATAGGCGTTCTGGCTGTGAACATTTATATTGAGAAGAACAAAGAGCTGAGGTTTAAGACCAAGAGGGAATTCCTTAAGACTTCTTCCAGTTCTCCTTATGCCAGGATGCCGAGTTATAGGTACAGGAGGCGGAGATCCAGATCCAGTTCTCGATCTACAGAGCCTTCTCCATCTAGAGACATTTCTCCAGTTGGCATGAAGATAGCAAGCACCATTCCCATGAACGAAATTTCCAGGTACTCGCTTGCCAGAGAGCCTTTGAAGGTGACAACGGCTGCCAGCTACAACGCGGACCAAGAAGCCAGTTTTCTGCAGGTTCACAACTTCCTTCAGAAGGAATTTAAGGAAGGACTCCATGTCAACATGGTCAACAGGAGAACGACGCCTGTTTGAAGTACCTTCCTTCCTCATGCTTTTTGAACAAATATCGAAACAGAATGGATCTGTCAAGAAAGAGAAGGAGTGATGTTAAAAACCCTCTCACCTCTTTAATTGTGGCATGTGTTGAGGCAGCAAGTGGAGATCCTCTGGACCATCATAAAGTTATTACACACTCGTAGCTTTTTCTGAAGCTATTCGGAGTTTGTTTCTTTCAGTTCTTGGTGTCACGAAATGAAGGCAGTTCATGTTCCTGCACTTTTGTAGTGTGTACAAAGTTGTGAAGAAACTGTAAAGGACTTGCCACCAGTGTGTTTTAAAGGATTACAGAAAAATTGTTGTACTTTTTTTTTTTTTTTTTCTAAAATTGAGATCCCTTAATACAAACTTGCAAATATAATTTATAACCAAGTCCAAGGATGAATACGAACTACTCATCAAGTGAGCCACTTTCCTTTGACGCAGCATAAGCTTTGCCTCTTTCAAAAAAAAAAGAAAAAAAAAAAAAGAAAAAAGGAAAATATTTTTGAAGGCAACACTTTCTAAAACTGACCTGTGCTACTGAAACCATACAGCACCCACGCACTGAGCATTACAGACTCCCTGACGGGGTGGTAAGGGGGTCTCCCATTTCTGGGTGTAAGGCATCCGTCTGGGCAATGCAGGTGGGGGAGAAGAGGGTGGGTGCATCTTGAAACACCTAGAAAGAAAAAGATTAAAGTAGGTGGGACTTGAGCATATTTGCAATTATCATTTCTTGCCTAACATTTAGAAAACTTGAATTCTTATTTCGACTAGCCCTAGTGCCTGATCCGGCAAGGTGCTGAGTGCTGTCTGTCAGGAGCCCCTATAGACTTCTCATAGCAAGAGCAAGAAGCAGAGCTGAGCCGGGGTGGCCCACGCAGGTGAAGCCACCGGTTCCCTGCGACTGCGTTCCTGTTTTCCTTCCTGCTTCACAAGTGCAACACTAACGCTACTGGAAACTAGGATATCTCAGCAACGTGCATAAGAAAATGAGAAGCTAATACGTTTGGACTAGCAAAACTTCCTGCAGCAACGGGGACTGAGTGTTAACAGAATGGATGACAACTTTGTATTTTTTAAAACAGAACAAAAATAATCACCGTTTATGAGATATTTATTAAACTCTTTTTATTATGAATAAGTGCCGCATGGTGCAAGGTATGGTTGCTTTTAGATGGAAATGATGGTTCGACCTAATTTAATTTATTTTGTAATGATGAATCTACTTACGTGCAGAGAGCCCACAAAAAACTCTATGCATCACCTAAGAGGGGAATTCATTTGTAACCTTTGCTTCTGTATGTTTTGAAAAAAAAGTCTGATTTTTTTTTTTTCTTTCAATTCTTGCTTTCATTTTTTACACTTAGGCTTGGAATCTCAAAGCTTGAGGGCCTGGCTCAAAGGCAATTTAATTTAATAGTATTCATGTTGATTTTAGTGACCACCTGACCAAGCCATAGGAGAATGAGGTGCCCAATTCCCCTTGGATGAATTAGGTGCAGTGAGAGAAAGGAGCATCTAATTCCTGTAGATTCCTTTGACTATACCTGTCTTCTTTTCCCAGAAAATCTTTGGTACTAGAAGACTAGAAAAGTGGTGACAAGAAAAGAAATTATTATTTGGAAAGCTTGGCTCACTGATGGTGAGAGATCTCAGCCAAACCGTTAAAACCTCTTTAGTCTGAATTTATCCTGTGATGGCCACAGCATCAGTGACTGGATGGTGTTTTGGATACGAGGCTGTCAGCTAGTGGAACCAAGTCCTCCAGGAAAATCCTGGAGGAGCTGCCTTAACATCCCAGAAAGCAAGTTGAACCCCCTCTCCCCTGCATATAAACCCTGCTTAAGCCTCTCTCCTTGCAAGGACCAAGACACAATTCTCAATTCTAAGCTGAAGTCTTCCCCTAGTCGCTGTTAAGCTCTGCTTAGCCCTCAGCCTGGCAGAGCAGCATCGTTATTTTGGCGGAGATGGGTTGGAGCCTTCATCCCTGCTTATTAAGAGTTTCCATTCAGGTTAAAACTCTGCTGGGATCCTTTTTCAAACTTTTGAACTTTGAGAGCTAAAGCGAATGGAGTGATGGGAACAATTTAAAAGCAGAAAATGTTGTGCTACTTTCTGTATCAGCACACTATGGAGAAAGATATTACACAAGCTTTTTAAAAAAATTCAAACAGAGGCAGACAAGAAAACTTTTTTACCTACTTTTCGGCTAGGACAACATAAAAGAGTTCTAAAATTATTAAAGTTCTTGATGAAAGGTTTTTTTTACAAGAATCTTTATGCTTTCAAACAGTAAATTATTTCCTACTTTTTGAGACTTCGTAATATTAAAATACTTTGATTAGCTATGATAGAAGTAGAAGTTTGCAATGAAAACAAAAAAAAAAACCTTCTGTCTCATTAGTGTGTCATACTAAGTGCTAATTAATTTACATCTAATTATAGTCGATGTATTTTTCAAGTGCAATTTCCAAGAACTATTTGTTTCCCACTGTGTTAATAAACTAATAGTTAGAAATAAGTCCTCATCCGTGTTTACTGTAATTAAGAATAAAACCATTCCCTTTAAAACCAGGAGTTAGATATAGGCTGTTTTTCTAAACTCATGTACACTGAACTGGAAGTTGACAGTGTGAGGTTTCCTTTGCGGCGTTGGTTTTGTTCTTTTAATTGTCCTTCTCCAGTGAATGTGTTTAAAACCAACCATCTGATTCCAGCCAAAGTCCAAGGCTTTTCTAAAGCCCAGGTCGTACCTGCAGAAGCACGTGCAGTATTTTTACACCATGTTGGCAAAAAAAGTCTTACCAAAGGTTTTGGGATGTTCCTGTTTGCCAGAGCCTCCTCCCCAAGAGCTGGGCTGGTTTCAGCAGCTCTCCAGATCCAATACCCTGCTCTGGTCCAAGCTGGAGCATCCGTTCCTTCTCCAGCAGGCACCTTTGAATAATGGAATTGGAGCAGGGAAATGTTCATGGGATGCCCATGAGATACGGGATCTGAATAGGGAACAAAGGTACAGGGAGATAACAGAGACCAGAGCTTTTGTCCTATAGGAGAATGAGGGCTGAGGTTTAAAACTCATGGTCTATGTCAAATTGCAGCGCAGTGATTTGTTCAACCAAAGCAAAAAAATACAAGTGGTTTCATTTGAAAATTTCAGTTTTAAAAAAGCCTCCAAAAATCAGTATTTTCATGTGGAAAACTTTTGTTTCTGACAAAACTGAGAAATTTCCAGCATTCCTGGCCATGACTGGTGTCTTGCTCCATGGCTGATCTCACTGAACACAATTAGATTGTGCTCGGACTTTGAAACCACTTAGTGCTGGTTTAAAAAAAACCCAACCATCTGTTCTTCTACATCTCTCTGGTTTCCCTGGACACAATTAGCCCCCGTTTCTCAACAAGGCCTGCAGATATCATCATCGTATCATTCATAATAATCAGTCTTTTGGTACTATCCTATAACATACTCTAACAGCAGACCTAAAAAAAACCCCATGCTATTGGATCGGATTTGATTTTCCAACTAACAAAGTTTCAGGTATATCATCAGCTCTCTTTTCCTAGTTTCTTATACACAATAGGAGGAAAAAGAGAAATCACTTCATATACCTGTACATCTAACAACAAACTATTTTTTATATTTCCTTTTCTTTCTGTATGGATCACATATCCACAAGGGCTAATATATCACGTCCCTTGAGGTTCCATTTCTGTCTGCAGTTCTAAAGTGTTATTTCCACTGTGCTTCAGTTCTACTGGTATAATCACAACCATGTATAATGTACTTAATCCTTACTTTTTAAATAAACCATTTTAAATGTCTCAAATTTTGTGTGCAGAAAGGTATATAGATTTTTAACTTCCAAATTCTCTGAGCTGAGATTTCTGTGTTTATTTTTTTCACATTTCTGCCTATGGGAATATTACTGGAAGTCAATATATCAAAGGAGAAAAAACTATTATTGTGGTCCCACAGACCACAAGATCTCCAGGATAAGCTATCTTCTCAATTTTTCCAGTCATTTGGGTTGGAAATTAAGGAAAACCTTCTCATGTTCCAGCTTAAACTTGGCCCATAGGAGGGACACTCTGGTTTGGGTGCCTGGTTTGAGGCTGGTTTGGTGGCCATAGGCACTGCAAACCACCATCAACAAAAATGAGCCAGTGTCTTTTGAAGTGCTAGCCCCAAGCCTGTGCTTTGCCTCCACCTTTTGAGGTTTCATGTGAGTTTGCTTCCAAGCATCCTCCTCTCCCTCCTCCTGCCTGTTTTGCCTGAAGAAAGCTCTACCCCCTGTGCTGGAGCTCCACAAAAGCCTTGCTCTGATCACCACCATAAAATCCCAGCGGTACGAGCGGCACCGATCACAGGTTGGCAGGTCAGCAGCTTCTCACTGCTCCCAGACATCCCAAACCATCCCAGTATCAGAGACAATATTTCTTCTTCAAATATCTCTTTTAACTTTACCTTCCTGGTTCCTAAGCCTCTGGATTGTCTTTGAAGATGAAGACTGCCTGCGTATCTCTATCTGCCCGCCTCTCCCCGTACGCGTGATCAATTGGCATGTCTGGAGGGAGGCAGGGGATTAATCTTCTTCGAATGCCTCCGACACCTGGTAGTGAAGCCATTTAAAGCTCAAGCCCAAAGCTGGTTCCCTGGAACTAAAATAAATAAAGGCTCTTCCCTCATTGCTGAGCAAGTCAGTGTGTGAACAGTGACCCCAAGAGCCGTGGCAGCCCTGCTTTGAGCAGGGGTGCATCAAAAAGTGATGTTAGAGGGGGAAGAAGAGAGTCCTTAAGGGTTCAGAAAGTAGAAAAAGAGTCCAGCGAGGAGGATGCGGCATTTCCTTGGAATGAGAAAACTAACAAACATGGGAGGTGCCCAAAATAAAAGGGAATGAGGAGTGCTCTGCAGCTGTCTGTGAAACAGGTCATCTTACAGCCACCGTCGCCTCGCTTCGCCAGAGCTCAAGGGATCGCTTACCGAAACCACACCCGGCATGGCCGCTGGTATTTTAAGAGAACCAAGCTGCAGGTCAGACACCCGGGCAGTGGCTGGGATGGCCAGGACCCACCCCATGAAGGGGCTGGGCTGTGCCTGGCAGTGCGGGGTCATATCTCCTTCTTCACACCTATGGGAGTCTATAAAAAAACAAACAAACAAACCCCACACAACCAAAACACACACACACGTGTTGCTCTTACCTTCAGCAACAGCAGGATTTCAGCCCCAGAGTTAGGGAGCTTTTGGAGGCTTCCATTGGCCATACTCATGGGTATCAGCTATGCAAAGCCAACCATGATCATGGTGGTCTCACCACACCGAGGTAATACAGGCTCAGGAGCTCCAAGATTGTTCAGGAGCTCAAAGATTGCTCAAGAGCTCCAGTTTGAAGAAAGCTGTTTGCTGAAAATGCATTTGAGCTGAGAGCAGACCAGGCACAATGTCCTCCATTCTGAGTCATTCTCACCTGGGAAGGGTCTTCTGCAGAGAATATTATTCTGCAAGAAGTGAACCACAGAATTTGGTTAATGTGGTAAATACTGAGGCTGGTCTGGAAGAAATACAGCAAAATGCAAGTGCTGGGGAGCAGAGCCAAGCCAACGCCTCTGCTAGGGATAAAATAATGCAATAGCTGGTCTTGAGACATCTCCTTTAGCATGTTCTCCAGTAGAGAAACATAATTGTGTCTTTCACTCACTGCTGCTAAAGTGCAACTAATTACAACCATCCCTGCTTCCCAACAGGTCCTCATTAATAGTCTGTTTATATTTCATGTGATATTGATTTTTAAATGTGAATGCTTGCCAGCTGACGCAGGGAGACTGCGGGAACTG